CATCCACCTCTATGAGTCAGTGCAGCGTGATCACCTACGGGCTCAATCTTCACGGTCTAATTGGGAGATTATGACGGACCCTGTCGGTGATGGCAAAAGAAGCTGGGAACAAGGCCATTCTCCGAGAGTGGAGGCTGGCGAAGGAAATCATGACACAGTAGAGCCAAGAACAACTCTGCTGGCCACTGAAGTAAGCAGGTGTTCATGCACATGCTTGTTAAGGGGAGGACTTCACCTTTTAGGTTTTGAATTGTGTCCCCCAAAATATGTGTTGAAATCCCAACCCCTGTTCCAGTGGATGTGAACCCATTTGGGAATTAGGTTTTTTTTGTTATGTGGATGAGGTAGGGTATCTCCTAAACCTAATCACTTCTGAGTGATTAAAAGAGCAGACAGAAGTGGAGCTCTGCCAGCTCTTCAAAGATTGGGCTGGACTGTGGGACATAAAATGATACTCCTGAAGAGTGTGCTACTTAGCTCAAGTAGATACATGAGACTAAATGGGCAGCTCCTGTCCACAGGTGAGATGAGAAGGCAGAGAGGGTCAGGAGCTGGTTGAACGGACCTGGGAAATCCGGAGTGGAAAGGAGGAGTGTGCTGTCACATTACAGGGAAAGCAGCTAGGGTCACCTAACAATGTGTATATCAATTTTTGTATATGAGACTAACTTGAATTGTAAACTTTCACTTAAAGTACAACAATAAAATAAGAAAGAAAAAAAACAAGAGAAATGGAGCCCTGGTGGTGTCGTGGTTAAGAACTTGGCTGCTAACCGAAAGGTCGGCAGTTCAAATCCACCAGGCGCTCCTTGGAAACCCTATGGGGCAGTTCTACTCTGTCCTACAGGGTTGCTATGAGTCGGAATCAACTTGATGGCAGCAGGGTTTGTTTTTTGGTTAGACATAGAAGCAAGTACAGATGGGAGAGGACAGACGCTATCTGAGGGCGACAGAGGCAGATGTGTCTACAAGCCGAGGAACTCCAAGGATTGCCAGTTACTAGAAGCTG